ATCTGAAATAAATTTATAATATTATTTACAAGTTAGACAATAAAATATTTGCGAGTACCATTTTCACATCTTTTAGTTTTTGGCGGGCTTTTTGTTTACCATAGACTATTATAAAACTGTGTGTATTGAAGGCAGTGCAGTGTGTTAAAGATACACTACAATTCGTCACATATTTGTAATTCACTTTTAAAATCAACCTAATTTATCTTTACCGCACAACATTACAAACTTTAAATATAAAGTAAATATATCTAAGGATAACACGAACTAATTCAAAGCGTTTTATAATGAAATACAATTATATGAAGCATATCTTATATACGGTAGTAGTGGTAAGCGGTAGGCAGCGGCTTGGCTCTGCCCTTGGCATTGCTGAAGTCCATGGGCGACGGTAACCACTCACCATCAGGTGGGCCGTATGCTCGTCTGCCTAGAAAGGCAATAAAAAAAAAACCTTTGAACGAGCAATTCTTGTATATTAATATAATTATATAATCTGAATCTCGGAAACGGCTCCAACGATTTTTATAAAATTTAGTATACAGGGGATTTCGGGGGCAATAAATCGATCTACCTACGATTTATTTTCAGAAAATGTTGTTTTATTCGTGTTTTCAATAATCAACTCTTCCCGACATCTATTGGCGAATAATAATACTATTTTTCTTAATTAAGGGCAACTAACAGCTTTAAAGACACAACAAGATGGGTCATCGTCTGGTTTTTTGTAATGTAGCAAAATTGTTCTTTCAACAATAACTTCGTTTTAATTTATTGACAACATAACAATAATAAATAACCAACTGTGAGCACTCGTGAACATACTTCATTTTACGAAATCAATCTCGAAGCATAAGACTCGAAACAATATAAATTCTTGAAACAATAAATAATGTTAATAGTAATAAGTACATCGGTAGCGTGGTTCGTAGTCGCGTATCAATCAATGCGCTTCTCTCCCGCCCGAGCGCTAACGTGACATATATTTATTCTGGTGACTGTACCCCGTCACGTTCCTATCTCTGATGTTTACATCGCTCTTAATTAATTTATTACGATTTGTACGCACATGTTACTGTCTACCTCTATAAATGATCGTCGGTTCGGATAGCATACGTTTTGACCTACCTTAACATAGATATTGAATTTGAATAATATTAGTAGAAATAATTGTATATTTTAATACGCTTTTATTAGCTTACAGACGTATGTATGTTTGTAATGGAATCTTTGAACATGATTTTGACTCTCTTCAAAACGTTGGATTGACTCGAAATTTGGTATACTTATTAAGGACCGATGACAATTCAATATTAAAAAAAAAATTGAAAAAATTGAAATTCAACTAAAAAATGAAAAATAAATAATAGTTTAAGAAAACTAACAAAATACGCTTTTATCCAATTAAAAAATAGAAAATAAATCTTAATAAAATTAAATTAAAAATAGTGTAACAAAAAAATATTTTATTGTAAAAAAGCGTGGGGTGCTTTTCAGGGTTTAAATTTATTAAGATCTAATTTCTATTTTTTAATTGGATTTTCTATAAAAGCATATTTTGTTAGTTTTTTTAAACTATTATTTATTTTTAGAAGTATTTTAAGCACGTATTAAGGTCTGATTAATGTTTAGAGCTAGCACGATACACATAAAACTTCAGACAAGTTTTTGCTCATCGCAATCGATGCGGCTGCGAATCATGTGTGAGACTTCCATAAACAATACATCACCGCCCAAATAATTAGAGCGGCATTTCGTGCGCGGTGCTCGTTCTCCTTGACGCCTTTTTGTAAGGATTTCTTTTTTGTTTCCCGACCGGGAATAATGTCATTATGGCGCCTTTAATGTTGTCAGTGTACGGCAGCCGACGCCGCCGCCCAAGGAGAACGTTTGTTGATACTTAAATTAGCTTGTTTTGACACGCCTCGTTCTTGTGTGTTTGTACTAAATCTAATAAACGTCACAATAACATAAGACATGGTTTTGGCTTTACGATCAAGAACAACGAAGACATGGCTTTGGCCTTTAAAACTACCAAAATTCTCCATTTATTACCAAGAATAAGACCTGGCTGTATGGACTAAAGTCCTTTGCCTTTCCCATTAGGAATAAATTAATATCATCATCATCTAATAAACGTCACTAGCAGAATAGTATTTCCTTCATTAAGGAAACGTTCTAATAGTTTTGTGTTATTTCTTCTCAGGCTATTGTCTGCGTGTCGATCAAGACCGGTATAGGTTAAGAGAACTAAATTTAAATAACAAATATGGAACGTTGAAAACAATTAGAGGGCGTTCGAACGCAGTGCATGCATAATGTATGATACGTCAGCTACCAGTCGTGGATGTTGGGAGTTGTTATTACGTGATGCGCAGGCGCGAGAGAGTACAACTATGATTGAAGTCAATGGTGGTCGTGAAAAGGGTGTGCAAGCTTAAGTAGTTGACATCACATGACCCTCAACCCTCCGGTTGTTTCAGTACACAAATAAGAATAATGGACATGTTCTCTAAGCGTTTTTAATTTAAAATATTCAACGTAACAGTTTTAATTAGTAAGATTTTACATTACAAATTGTATAAGCAACTTTCTCAGTAACATTAATAAGTAAATTGTCTGCGTCTTCAAAATAATCATCAATAGAACAAACCGTCTGTCTTGTTTCCTTGTAACATATTTTTTTTAAATCATTTGTCACCGTGTGACACGTTATTTGAGGAATTATTCACGAGAAACTGAAGACACGTGACGGCTCGGTCAATATATCGTAATTTTTATTATGCTCTTTTGAAGCAGAACAACTTAGCTCCGGACATATTTATCAAGACGTTTCATAGATTAACGCGCCTCCAATGAACCACATCAAACGCATGCATAAATATCTTCAACAGAAATTAAGAAGTTAATTGTCGGTACAATGGAATTTATAAGAACTCTCTTGATTTACACAAGCCAAGCCACGCGTAATAAATATAAAATCAAATTTACAACTGTTTTGAATACAGTTATCGTTCTGGCAATAAGTACCTATTGCATTGAAACTACATAGACTTATAAGTCTACCTGTCCAGTTGTAATACGAAATCTGTCAGAGTTCATAGTCCTACTTATTATATAGGTGCTTAGTGTGAATTAGTCGAACAATGAGCAATTTGGCACCGTGTAGGTGTCAGACAGGTAGAGCTGATGGCGGAGAGCGAACTCAATCGACAAGTAATTATCGTCAGCGAATGAACGCGACGATAGATCCACACAAACATTCCCTTGATCACTTGTTTATTGCGTAAATGTATATAAAAAATTTACACCTTCTCGGACCCCTTCGTAAAGCTGCCAAGAATACGGTGAAATTAGTGTGAGCATCGGTTTAATCCGTTGGGTTATTAGACGAGCGGACACTGTTTAATGATGACTCGTTTCCGAGGAAGGCTTTATCGTAAATATTATGCACAAATTGTGGAGCCACAGCGGGAGCGCCGCCACTCAGCGAGGGGGCGATTTTTCATCGACTGCTTCACTCTCCCAAACATATTTTTAACACCTTGTGTCGATATTAAATCAAATATTTGCATTATGAGAGCAATGACTTTTTCTTACTGGATTTTATTAAAATTAATTGGTAACACGCTTTTCAAATATAATGTTTCATAATAATTATGATGCAGATTAGCCAAGTAGATAAGACGATGTAGTATTATTATACCTTTGGAGATGGCGATGGATATCCAATTAAAAATAAAGTTGTTTATTTGCCTTTTTTTTCTTTTTTCCCTACCTATGGTGATAGCCTTGAGAGGTTATTTCAGCTTCACCCTAACGTGTGTAGATGAGCTCACGGGGCTCAAACCGCGAGTGTTGATAACACTGGCTCTAACAAGAGCAGTGCTTCACAAAATCTACCACCGGATCGGAAACGCGACCCACTGAGAAGATCCGGCGTGAAACTCAGTGGACTAAATGCCCTATTATCATAAAATCATCATTGTCATAAAATAATTATTGTGTCAACTTGGAATAAATTTTGTAGTTTGACGTTGAATTTGTTGTTGGATCGATCGTATTAACTCGGCGACCGGACAATGAACTAATACAGTTCTAAATGGACACTGGTAGGTACCAACCCCCTGCCTGTCTCTATCTCTAAGAAATCTTAAATTCCGGTTCGAAGGGTAGTGGAAGATGTTGACGTGGCATTATATAAGGGTTGGGAATTCGGAACGCCTAAAACTACGTAGGCCGTCACTTCAAAATTAAAACAATATAACAATTTGCCTGGGTTTTATCACACTATCTGCTCTCAAAGATATAAAATAAAACCTTAAAATATCTAGTATATCTAATATCTAGTATGTCAATATCTTATAATATCTAGTATTATGGGCAGAACGGAAACATATTGTATCGTAAATGCCCTATTAAATTGCATTTCGAACATAAAACGAACACTGAATTGTATTACTTGCGGTCAACTAAAATGATAAACCGATGTGGAATGTCGTCAATAAGTTAACCTTATTAGTCGGTGTATACGGTACTCCGCGGGTGGCACATCTCTAAGGAGACTGTTCACACAGACGCGTTACTTGCACGATCGTCCTGATCGTTTTAAACTTTAGCATAATGATAAGTCGCCAGTTATGAACAGGTTATTATGATAATCCTCGGCAGTTCTCCTCGTACAATCTAATTGAAATCGTGCTATTACTTGGTTATGTGTGACTAAATTCATTACACTCCATTATTATACTTCATAAAACTGAAACATGTTTAGCGTCTATTTAGCTTTGATAAACGATATTTTACAAGCTTTAAATTGTTTCAAATAACTCTTTAAAATTATTAATTTCTTTCTCATTTCTAGATTATTAATGGCTTTCGGTGTTAGATACTTCGCAAAGATTCGATCTTTTGCTCGTATTTGTAACAAAAATGAAGCAATACACATCTTTCGTCACTTCAAAGTTCGAATGTGGATCACAGTATCCGTTTTGTTTCAGATCACGAAATTGAAAATTGACAGTAATCCGTTCGCAAAGGGCTTCCGCGACTCGTCGCGTCTCACTGAATTCGAAAGGTAACTATAATAAACTTATTTCAACAGCCTTTATTTACCCAATGCAAATGACTAAAATTAAGTCATAACCGTCATGTGAACTCACCAAAAATAAACATAAAATCGAGTTATTCTGTTCAGCTGGTCATAAAAGCGATCATTAATGTTCATAGCATAAGACGGAATTCAGTTAATAGTGTATTGGACACACTCGCAGATAAATATCTGATGTTGATTGATACTTCTGTGTGTAGCGCAGTTATGTTTCGAGTTTCCACAGCTTTATTGCGTTGTGCTCAATCGAATAGGTTTGCTACCAATGCGTTCTAATCTATTTACTAGTGTAGGATGTAATTTGTTTTCATTTGTCTCGCTGTGTTATTATTCCCAACAAAACATCCCAGTCAGCAAGACCAAGTTCCATTCGATCCCTTATGTATTTTCTTCCATTCGTGCAAATGTTCATTTCGCTTTTCTTTGTTTGAGATTCTATATCACGGGAGAACACGACCGAATGTCAGTCATCTCTGACGAGGCGCGCTTCAATGCAGTCAATCATAGGTATATACCAAATCATACACACGTTGATCGTTCGTTGTCGCGATAATATATTTCGTAAACCGACCCGTCCGTGTTTCCAGGGAGACGATGGAGTCGATGCTTGCCGAGCAACACTACCTGCGGTCGCCACTGCGGCCCTTTGACCTGGACCAGCACAACAACAACTTGACTTTGGAGGAGAAGGCGATCCTGGCGGCCCGGTCGCAGCTGTTCTTGCGCGCGGCGTATCCGCTGTACGGGGTACCGGCCGCGGCGCTTTGGGGACAGTGGGCCTGTCTGGCGCCGCAACTGTTGGCGCAGCAACAGCTAGCAGCATCGGGGTCGGGACTGCAGATGGCGAGACCAGCGTACCCTGCACCTCATCGTTACTCTCCGTACCCAGCACGACGTTCCCCCCCCGCCTCTTCGCCCGACTCCTCACCGCACGCCACGCATCCCCCGCACAGCCCTACTTAGTGTTACTCACCTCACTTACCTCTCCCTACAAGTCCCCGTGGTTTGTCTGCGCTTCGGTTATCTCTGGTATAAGACTGGCGAGAAGTACAGATCGTATCCTGTGTGCTTAGTGCGAGTTTTTTAACGTTCTCGACAGCGTATAAGTTAACCCAATTTCGTATGCATTTGGAACAGCGCCCCTAACGGCAAACGTAAGCAAACGATCCCATTCCATACAATTATGAGCTAACTTTTGCACTATCTAGAACGTTAAAAAACTCGCACTAAGCACACTGTTATTCCGCGCTCCCTGAAGAAGAATTTTAGTCTTTTAATATTGTACAGTGGACATTAAAGTTTCTCTTCGTCGACGTGAAGACTAGTTACATCTGCGGCTCGTTCGTGGTGTTGTATTATAATGTAAAGTGATATTTGACGACGAACGATTTAATTTAAATGTGTAACTGTTGTTATATGTTCCTAATAGTTTCATCTAGTAGTGACGGTTGCGAAACTTCGTGTTGTAGCTTTAGTGGAATAGTTTTATGGTATCGGTGTAGCACTATTATTATCTGAATGTTGGTATTCGTTGATCTCTGAATCAAGTATTGATACTCAATAGAAGAAACCTTGCCGTCGTTTAATGACCTATCTATTATATGTTTTAAATATCCAAATTCATATTGTTTGGACAGAATGTGCAATACAACGGGAAACAAATTTGATTGATAGTTAACTTAAGCTTCTAAATTAAGTATTACTAGTTGTATTAATTAATAATAAAATATGATTATATTTGCTGTCGATGTATAATTTCCACGTTGCGATGGTCACATAGATGTACCCGAATGGCGACTTTGTAGTTAAATTTTAGGTAGTTATTAAAGATAATATATTGATAAAGAATAAAAAATTAAATGTTTGTTAACGTATGTTTGGTTTTATTTATTTATTTAATTCAATTTTCTTTACCTGCCAACCTTCCTTGCCAGTTAAAATTGAACCTTAAAACAAATCCTCAAAACTCATTTAATGCTGAGTGGGCTATGTCCATGGTAAAATCATGCAGATGGGCTTATTCTTATAGAGTGTCATAGAAGGAGCTAGTTTGTGACTCTCAAGCCAGAGAGGACAACAGAACTCCGCACGAGTCTAGACCTGTGCTTTGTAGAGCATAAACATTTGTACAGACGTAACGTAGGGCTTCGGCTAATTATCTAGTATCATTTAGGGTCTGGGTAGCGACTTCAGATTCCCCGTATCTTGTACAGTATGTGAATTCCATGGGTAGTTCTCTAAGTCGTCAAATGATGCCGCCATCTCCTTTTCATCATCAGAACACCCGTCCTGTCAGCGGTTCGCAAAAATCCAGTGCAATCAATTTTTGTTTTGACTACCCATTAAACTACCAGTGCATTTTCGTTGCTTATGATTCTTATTTTGTGTATTTTTATGGGTATAATTACATGTATCTTTATTAAAAAAAATATTTCTTTTTTTAACTATAAAACTTTAATAAATTGCCAATAATATTTTCAAGTACATTTAGAATCTTTAGTTGACATTATTACTTCGCAGGGCACAGTCGCTAATGCTTTTAGGCATCGTAACTAAAGGTGGTATATATTAATTCATCTACATCTAATTAGCGGACACAATATAAAAAATGAGGCATGAACGATGTCTCTGCTTACCTAGTTGAGAACAAGCGCCATAGCATAGCAAGCCGGCCTACGTACCTGTTCTAGTCATACGCATCAACGCTAGATGGCGTTACGAGGGCTATGTTTGAAGCGTAGTCATATTTATGAAACAAAAACAACTACTTACTTGAAATTGAAAAACCTTTATTTAATAAGTGATATTTGCTTTAAGTGAAATTTACTTATCCAATTGCAGACGCTAAGGTTTGTTAAGATAATATATGAGCTAGATACTTAGCATAATGTCTGCTGTGAACTTGTGCGTTCACTTAACGGAATTAAAAAGAGAAACTAGAAATTCCTTAACGTAAAGATTTCACCTCAAGATTCGTACGAGCCAAAATAAGTTCAATAGTGTCGAGAAAAGTTATTTTCTAAGCATACTAATGTTGAAATATTCCTCGACGAGCGAATTAACCCAAACACAGCCCACTGAGTTTCTCGCCGGATCTTCTCAGTGGGTCGCGTTTCCGATCCGGTGGTAGATTCTGCGAAGCACTGCTCTTGCTAGGGTCAGTGTTAGCAACTCTCCGGTTTGAAGCCCGTGAGCTCACCTGCAAACGTTATGGCGAAGCTGGAATAGCCTCTCAAGGCTATCAGCATAGGTAGGAGGGAAAAAAAAATTTGGAATAAAATCGGTACTTTAATATTTGCGTGTAGGTATTTATGTTGTACTGAAACATATCGCATAGGTACCTTTAGAATTGAAGTGGCTTAACTAAAAAAATAAAGAAAATTAGTTTTAAACTTCAATCGATAAACATATTGTATTTTATCAATTTATAAAATTAAACAGTCTCTTTTAGTCTAGAAAAGGACAAAGTACTCTTTCCGTTTCTTTCAAATAAAGCGCATTTGTACCATAAAGTATTAAAATTTAAAAACAAAAAAATGACAAATCGTCAATTACATTTTTGGAGTTTACCAAAAAAAATAATAAGAATTTTGGATTAAGCCAATTCAATTCTAAAGGTGCGAATTATTTTACCTTTATTGAAAGGTTTAATAACAGTGTTCGATATTGAATTGTAACAGTTGAATTGTAACAGATTTGCGGAATTGTTACAAATTAGAGAGTCACGGTCGGCGATTATGCAAAGCGACCATAAAGTTATCTTTAGCAAAACAACGGCGACACCCTCCGCGCAACTATTCAATTAAAATGAAGCAGTGTCGGGACATTCGAGTCACATAGGGGCGGACGGGACTCCATCGAATTAGTTCGGCGCGTGGCCACATTACTGGGACAAATTTCACGTCCCATGGGTCGACCGAATCCGGGGACGCAACGCTAATCTAATCTGGATTGTAGCTAATAAATGTTGTAGCCGGCGACTCGGGGGCCACGATTTATTGCTTGTAAAACTGTTTCCAATCGGAGATATTGTTAGGATGACGCCACGTTTTTGATACGGCCCGATTGAATTTAACATGTGACTGCGCGTTTCGTTCGATCTTAATGTTTCGTGTTAATTAATTTAGATTACATTAATTGATTTTTTAGATGATACGATGATGTGAGTAATTCAATTAGTGCCTACAGATTTATAATACAATATACTACCAATTGAAAAACCCTGTTTTTGTTTATTAATGTATTTTATTTAATCATTTAATAAATTGATATGTCGTGAGCCCGCAATGCAAAGCAAAGGCTACTGACGGACGTCCGGTGCAAAGGAAGCACTAACACTGTGCACAATCTTTATATTTATTGGCTTACGACGCCATGCGCTATATGATAAAATAGCGAATTTGTTTTGTAACAGCCTTAGGCACCATTAGTGCTTTCACCAGTGTGCTTAGTGCGAGCTTTTTAACGTTATCGATAGCGTAAAAGTTAACTCAAATTTGTATGGAGTTGGACCGCTACCTACGTTTGCCGCTAGGGGCGCTGTTCCAACTGCATACCTACAAATTTAAGTTAACTTTTACGCTATCGAGAACGTTAAAAAACTCGCACTAAGCACACGGTCTGTCCACAAAACTGTCGTTCCTTCCGGAAGCTGTTACCAAACGACCGGTCTATAAATGGAAATTTTGAGCGAAGTCTTATTCAGCCAGCGTTATTGGCAGTGGGTCCTTGATCCGCGGCGGGCGTGGGGCTTGTAATATCGTGTCATTGGCCACTCGGCTCATAATCCCCTTTTAACTGCGGACCCCGAGCGGCGTGAACGTGCTTCGAATTTTTATACGCTGCTTCTTCTGTTTGTGAACATTCGCACTCCTTGCTTCTAACATTGGAGCTACGAATATGTTCAACGTTGTCAGCTTAGAGACACGTTCTAGCTTCATGACATTTAAACATAAATCAATAGCTGTTTATACCAAAGTTTGTGCCAAAGAAATTTTAGTATTTACAAAAGTCGATTCAAGCAGTAATATGTCACGTTGACATCTCCTTGACCTTGTGCATGTAATCTGCTTCGTTACTACTACATAATCTATGAATGAAAAAAATATGAAAACAATGAATAAAACTTGACCTATATTTTTATTATAATCTATATACATATATCTTATATCTCTATATATAATAATGAATTGCTGTTCGTTAGTCTCGCTAAAACTCGAGAACGGCTGGACCGATTTGGCTAATTTTGGTCTTTAATTATTTGTGGAAGTCCAGGGAAGGTTTAAAAGGTAGATAAATATGAAAATGCTAGGAATTAAATAAAAATAACAATTTTGTTTTCCCTTTGATGTGTCCCCCGTCGGACGGATTCCTTTTGTTTGTTTTAAGTTAATTTTATACAAAAGTTTATGTCTTTTATTTATCGATTGCGGTACTACGAAATCTGCCGGGTCAGCTAGTTTTAAATAAATGTAGATTTAGAGCAATTTTTATAAGCAAATTCTCCGATTTTCGAGTTACTTCGAAACTTTGTTGAGGATCATTGAAAAAAAATACGTGTAAGAAACAACGCATATCGAGAAATGTTAGTAACCATAGTCGATACGAAAATATAGGTGTCGCTTAAACGGTAAACAAGACATCTCTATTCTCAACCCTTTGTCGCGCGCATCTGTAGCAATAACAGATGTCGGTATAATTCTTGTGCTCTAATTTATTCCAGAAGAACAATGTTTTATGTGAGCCACATAAAACTTGAACGGTACATAGGAGTACTTACGCATACAAAGAGGCGGGTAGGCAGGGGAGAGGCAGCCGGCGCTAATGTCGCCGCACCGAGCCCACACATCTCCACATTTCAGTAAAACTGCAGACGTAACAGGGTAATAAATTCACGTTTATTACCGCAAATATATGTACCTCTTTCCGTGGCGGTTCGCTACCGGAACAAATCGTGGGTCCGGCGCGTTTTCGTGGAATACGCGAAACGTGCGTTATGAAATATTTACGTAAACCTGAAGGTTACAGTGGAACAATGCATATAGAGTAAGCACACGGGCCTTCATCGCTAAGGTGGCAACATTATCGAAATATCATAATACGTAATAAA